TTTTGAATTCTAAACTTGCAAATGAATTAATATCAGAAAATAGTTTTTGGTCAAATATTTCATTATCATCATCATCAGCAGCAGCTACAGCAACAACATCAACAACAGCAACAACAAAAACAACAACAACAACAACATCATCATCAGCAGTAGCAACAGAAACAAAAACAGCAATGATGTATACTTTTAAGTTTCCCATCAAGGCATTCCCACAAGAATCAAACAATTTGTTTAAATCAGAAAATTGGCCTTCAATTTGTGATAATATTGAAAGTTATAATATAAATATGAATTTTGCAAGGTAAAAACAAACCATATATTACCTGATACTTTTTAAGCTCATTTATATGTTAATTCATTTTTTTATTAGTAACAATATTTTAATTGTAATAGAAATGCCATCTCCCAAATATCACAACGTATAAATGATCCAGGAATTAAATTATGTCAATTAGCATTAGAGCAATTATATGATGTTTCAAGGTTAATACTTTTAATGAATTATCTTAATAATGTTATTAATTATTACAACAAAAATTTTTATAAAATTAATTATATAGTGCAAAAAATCTTGCAAGAAATATGTTGGAAAAAGAATCAACAAACTTGTCATTTTGGAATGGATATGCATTACTTGAAAAATCTATGAATAATATAACAGATGTATTCATTCAAAATTTGTTTAATTATTCTTTATCAATAACAAATAACTTATTTTTTTTTTTGGAAAGGCACGAAGAGTTTATCTTGCAACACTTTCACAATATCGAAAATTTCCTGAAGAATACAAACAAGATGTATCACTAATTTATCGAATGTTTGCAGAAATGGAAATTGAACAACATCATTTGAAAACTGCTCTAAGTATGTATTATTTTACACAAATATAAATTATATATTTCCATAATCTAATTAATTAAATAGATGAATGGATTAAGTTTGAATATTTTATATTGTCCAAATCCTTAATAATAATTAATATATATATATTTATATTTATATTTAAGATGCACTTGTTAATATAACAGAGACTCAAATAGTGACGACAGGTAGGTAAATAAATATTATCATTATTGATATATATATGATGTTTAATTTTTTTTCTTGATAATACCAATAGATTCAATATCAGAAATGGATGTGCCTAGCATAAAAATATTAAAAGCCAGGAAGGTTGGTATTTAAATAATATTAGTATAACTTTAAATTATTACTGAAAAATGCTAATGAATTTAACATACATATGTATTTTACAGTATTTTTCTCAACAGTTGGCAAGTCTTACATCATCATCAGCTTCAAAAATAGATTTGTATAATTCCTTAAATTATTCTATATGTTTAGCATTTTTGGAATATACAAGTAGAGGGTTACAACATGCTTGTAAAGTATTTGACGAATCATTAGAAAATATAGAGGTTAGAAAGGGTAAAATGAGTGTGGAAACCGAGATGATATACATGGCATATCCTTTAAAATTTTAGACAGATAGGTAGATTACTTGTTTTATTTAAAATGTTTTAAAAAATAAAATCCTTAACAAAAGATAAACACTTATATTAAATTAATTTACCAGCATTCTTTAATATGTGATACATCAGAAAGAGAAGAGACATTTAAAATTTTGCAAGATCTACTAATTAGGGCTTTGGATGCTTTTCCCAATAATACGATTTTTTTGTCTTTGTTTTTGCATGAAGAAACTAATGGAAATATTCCTACAAGTTTAAATCAAGTGTTAGAAAATATGTTAAAAAAGTAAGTCAAATAATTGATAATTTTGTTTTTTTCAATTACTTTTGATTATTAATTCACTATTATTAATATTTGTTAATAATAATGATGATATTCAAGAAATCCAAACCATATTCTTTGGACTTTTGCCATTTTTTCTGAATTACATAGTCAACATCCCTATGACACTCACAAAGTTCGAAATCTATTTGATAAAGCACTTGAATGTCCAAAGTAAATTATATATATATATATATGCACATACATATTAATAAAAAAATGTTAATCATTATTTTTATATAAATACATAGAACAAAAAATTCAATATCATTATGGGCTTTGTATATTAATTATGAAATTAAACATGAACAATATAGTAAAGCCAAGATTTTATATTATAATGCAATAAGAGAATGTCCATGGTCAAAAGGTATGAAAAATTTTTATCTAAAACATTTAATTAATTAATGATAGTATTGAAATGATGATTATAAAAAAATTAATAAAAATTAGTAAAATTGTTAGATTTGTATATGATAGCATTTTGAAAACTACGTTCTCAATTTTCAACTGAGGAATTAGATGAAGTGATGAATGTAATGTTAGAAAAAGAGATCCGTTTAAGAGTTTCAATGGAAAATTTTACTGAAGAAAAGGAACAAGAAGAAACAATGAGTAGTATAGTCCAATGATGGCAATGACAACAGTAATGAAATGCATCTTATTTATTTATTTAAAAAATAAAAAAATCTAATAAATGAATATTTAAATTATTTAGAAATTATACAAATAAATAGACACGTATATATTCAATATTGATAACAATAATTTGCCACATACATTATATTTCTTTACTATTTTATACACTTTGTTTTTAAAACAATAACAATAAGTTCATGATTAATCAGTAAGCTTCATGAAATTCTATAAATTTAAATATCTCAAGATCCATAAAGGACTAATTAAAATATATAAGGATTAGTTTCTATTATAGAGGTGGACAATCATCTAATTAGTTGTTCTGATTGAAAATCATTTTTTAAAGTCTTGGAATTTTTTGATGTAATTAGATTGCCATTCATTAGTTGGTAAAAATCAGTGAGTTGGATTAATGGAATAAAAATATTTTTAACTTGGTGAAATAATCATTATTGTCCATACTAAAATATATTCTCCCTCTATTCAAGTTGTCCCACTCCCCAATTGAATCCTGCACATTAATTTCTTTTCAGTAGCATAGGTTTTTCAATAAATTTGAAATCATCAATTTTAAAAAAATTCTGGTTTATTTGTGTCAATTAATTAATTTCTTGGTCTTTTATATTTGGATTTTACTATTTTTAGAACCTTGACTTTCTAACAATCATTTTGAACTGTTTCATCTTCAAATGTTCCTTTTCTAGTTTTCATCCTTACAACAATTATTGAGTAAAACTGACTGATGATGATTGATATCTGGGTGAAAAACAAAAGCAATTTTGTTCCTTCTTTATAGGTTAAAATGTAGATCACTCTTAATTCGTAATTTGTGATAAATGGAAAAGATCGACATGCATTTTAGCCAGAATCTTGAATCGTTTTTAATTTAAAATTAGTGTTAGTCGCCAAAACTATTTCGAAGAGGCGAAAGTCAAAACTAAAATTAAAAGTTTATGCCAAAACTAAATCAAAAGTCAATAGTCAAACATCAAAACTAGTTTCGACTTATGGCGAAATCTTTTGACTTTTGCACAGTTGCGAAACTCTCTAATTTGGAAACCAACACTAGTTAAAATAATAAAACGTCCCACTTTAATTGTAAATATTTGTTTCAGTGGGTGAAATGAAGCCACATTCATATTATCGGCTAAATGCAAGTAAAAGTGGAACATAACTAAATTGATTTATTACCTATTGAAATCTTTGTAATTATAATTTATTGTCATAATTATATACAGTCCTCGGCAAAAGTAATGGTGCGAATATTTGAATTACATAATACCATAAAACGTTCATTTATAATGTTTATTTGTCATTGAGTCGCGTAAATAGATAGCAACCATAAAAGTAAATAAAAAAAATAATGATCGTCATCAGTGTTTTTTGTCTTGCAAAATGCCTTCGAACCCTATTAAAGCCAACCATAATGCCGTTAACTTCTCTGGAAGCAAAATGTTCGTACTCCGAAAGAAATTTCGAATAGAACTGGGATCCCATTACGTACACGTTAACGATACGTCACCATATTAAAAAAAATGGAAAAATTCCAGAAATTCGCCGGTCAGGCCGTCCGCGAAAATTATCACCTGAAAAGCGGTGCCAACTCGGAATGATCGTCAAGAGTAACCACTATAGGACCGCCACCGAAATGAAAACTATTTTAGAAGAAAAATACCAACATCTCGAAGTTAGTGAGAGAACTGTTCACTGTGAGCTTTCCAACCTCGGTTATGTTGCTACGCTTCCCAGAAAAGTTCCTCTTCTAACAGAACAAGCAAAGATTAACCGCTTGTCATGATCATGTGCATTACAACTGGAAAAAAGTTGATTTTTCAGACGAAACAACTGTCCAGTTGTTTCGCAATACGATGCTAGCATGGTCTCGTAAAAAGAAACCTGTCAAACCTATAATAAAACATCCCCTTAAGGTTCATGTTTGGGGTGCTATCAATTTTAAAGGGAAGGTCGGTATTCATATCTTTACTGAAAACCTTGACCACCACCTATATCGCAAAATTTTAAATGAACAACTTTACAACAATGCTGATGCATTAGTAAGTGGCCTATGGGTCTTTCAGCAAGATAACGACCCTAAGCATACATCTAGGGACGTTATGAATGATCTGAATACCCGCCTTCCAAGACGTGTTCTCGCCTGGCCTTCATATAGCCCAGATCTCAATCCTATCGAGAATATATGGGCTATAATGTTGAGAAACACGTCAAAAAATGATAGCAGAAAAAAAAAGGTTTCGAAAAATAAATTTATCGGTATTATTAGGGAGGAATGGGAGGGAATCAAAAAAAACGTCATAGTTAATAGCATCGATAGCATGCAAAATCGGGTTCAAGCGTGCATCGATGCTGAAGGAGCTCATACCAAGTACTAACACCATAATAAAAGTTATAGCCATACTGTTTGGCTTTAAAAAAAAATTTTTTTAAATTTTTAATAAAGTACATTTTTTATTCATAAAAAATTACGCGCCATTACTTTTGCCGGGACTGTATTTTGCAATCAACTTCGCAGATCTTGCCTTTAACACTTATTTCAATCACTCCTTTACAAAATATTGAATAATTGATAAAACATTCATTTGCAAAACTTTATTTGCAAACTTCTTGATCTTGTATTTGACACTTGCATCATGAAAATAAATCTTACATAAACCTACGCAGGGTTCAGAATTGGCCAGCATTATGTCGATATTTTGGTAATTCTGTTAACATTTCCGCATAATGCTGGTCAGTTTTAAACCCTGCGTAGGTTTACATGAGATTTATTTTCCTGGTGTGCTTTGATTGCGCCTATAAAAACTATTGACTAATTGACAAATGTTCCTACGTAATCTAAAAAAAATAATTCAATAGAATAAAATTTGTCCAATGAAGCTGTATATGCAATGGCGAGCCCATGTGGCTCTCTTAAATGTGTTATTAAAGTCCAGCGAGTGAGAGAATGGAACTCTTGCTGGTGGCTCATGCTGGATGTATTAACCGACCTCTCTCTTTTGCTAATTTTTATTGTTTATTTTATTTAGAAGAAACATTTTTTTAAAAAAAAGAAAAGAGAGATAAAATTCGTTAATTGGTTACATTTGTAATATATAAAATCCATCAATTATGAGAAGCACTACTATTATAGCAACAAGTAGCAAACAAATAATGAATCGTCATTTTTTGAGGATGACAATAAAGATTAAGATCCAATTTTGTTCCATGAAAATACACAAGTTTTTCAAAAAAACGGCTGTCCTATTTATATGTTTTAGATTTACAAAATAGACTACTGTGTCTTGGCCCGAGTAATGTCATTTTTTTGCTCTTTGCGACGAAGAAGATGCAATCCTAAACCCAACTTACAATAAATGAATTTTTGTTCACGCGTAACATGGTGTGCGTGATTTGTAATACGAAAACCATAAGCTCGCATTGCGTTCTCAGTTGTGAGCTTGTTTTAATATGGACAATAAAACAAGACGGATTGTTGTTAATATGTGGTTAATATGGATATAAATATAAATTAACTTAAACATATATAAAATATATAAATAAAAATTTTCTTTTTTTATTTTTGTGGCACAAGTGAAAAAAAAAACTTAAATATAAAATAATTTTAAACACAAATATAACAATCCCGATACATTACAAGCATTATAAATATTATTTTCAGAATAAAATTTTCCAGCAATTTCAAAATTGGAATCATAAAATAAAATGGTACAATTTGGAGATTTTAGAGATATTTGTGAGACGGTTGCTTTAACTGTTTGTCCACTAGTTGGAGCAGTGGAAGGTATAGAACCAACCTGTTATTCAAGAAATGTGGAAATTGCTAAAACACTTTTTTTTCAACCAGGTGACTTATTATCATTGGAAAAGTTTTCTTTTAATTAATAAAATTTAATAAATCTAAACTAATAAATTTTATATCTCCCTGCTTATAAACTTAGCCACTGTCATTATTCATATAATTGCATTGGTTATGACTTCTATTATGATATATCATATAAAATCAAAATATACAGCTGTTGGTAAGTAATCTCAAAGGATAAATTAACAATTAAATTATGATAATTAATTAATTAATTAATTAATTAATTATAGGTCGTAAGGAAATTGTAATGTTTTTCTATTTATATATGATGGTTACATTCTTGGAATTTTTATTAGTTTCAGGAATTATTGCAACAGCATCACCAACTTACCCTGTAAGTTAACAATATACTTGTGTTACCTGTTGAGATTATATTAATTATAAATTATTATTCTAATAAATATATGCACACACACATATATTATTAATTAGTATTTTACTGCAGCACATGTAAGTCTTATAACTGCAACTTTTTGGTGTTTATTATTGAATGGATTTGTTGGGTTTCAATTTGCAGAAGATGGTACTCCATTATCACTTTGGGTAATTACTATTAATTATTACTATTAATGATTATTATTACTGTCAATTATTATTATTGTCATATTCATTCACTCATTCATAACCTCCCTCTCTCTTATGCTTCTTACACTCTGATCCACTCTCATTAACCACTCATATTTAGTCAATTCGTATTTCTTCATTGGCTGTATTTGGTGCAGTATATTTCATAAGCATTGCAACATTCAATAGCATAGCTGGATTCAGTCCATTGCGCCCAGTAGCATTATGGATCATTTTATATGTGTTTAATGGAGCAGCATTAATGATATATGTAGTTTTACAAATTGTTTTGGTGTTGAATACACTTGATGATAGATGGCCACTTGGTGATATTATATTTGGTATTGCATTCTATGTCATCGGACAAGTCATACTCTACATGTTCTCGGTACGCATTTGTGACACAGCAAAACATTATATAGATGGATTGTTTTTCGGTACCATTTGCACTTTGTTGGCTGTTATGATGGTTTACAAATATTGGGACTCGATTACAAAAGAAGACTTGGAATTTTCTGTTGGAAGTAAACAAAATGTTTGGGAAGTTAAAGAGTTGCTTGCAGAAGATGAATTGGCATATAATAATCAAGGTGGTGGTGGCTATGGATATCAACAATCTCAACAACAACAACAACAACAACAACAACAACAACAACAGCCACAACAACAGCAACAATATGGTGCATATAATGATACAAGTTATTATCCCAGTTAATTTAATAATAATGTGAAAATTAGTAAATATTATTTTTAATAATAAAATATAATTATTATTAAATATTTAAATATTTAATGATAAATCAATCTATCTATATAAAATCATATACATGTATTATTACTTTTTATTAACTATTTAATTAATTTTACTGGTGAAGAAATATTGTAATATAAATAAATCTATAAACACTATTATATTATGTATTATTATATAAACTCACCTCCCCAAAATTAACTCATTATGGCATCATCCTAATCAATTATCACAACTTGCCTTCTTTCTGCTCATAATATTGAATTCAAGTCAGGTGACTGTACATAATTTTTTTAATTGGTATTCTAGAAGCAAAATTTCTTAGCTAATTTTATACATTAAAGATAATTTATAAAGCACATTAATATTAGAATGGATTATTGTTATCTCAAGGAAAACTGCTTGGATGAACTTTATAGTTGAATTATTTTTTTGAAGTAGCAGTTTGAGATGCTCCCTGGGATACATGATGATTTACATGTTGCAAAAATCTTATTGAGGGAGACTACACAACTACTCTTTGATTATCTATGTGTTTGTTGTGTTCTACTGCTTCTAATTATTAGAACCATAGTAACAATGACTATGGAGTAAAAGATTTTGGGATCATATTAAGAAGGAAAAAGATGAAAGGGATGGAGGCATATTCGATGAACATTATAAAAGTATTATTGTGCTTTCACTAAAAATAGCATAATTTGTTAATACTTTTCATTTGCAGACTGGGGTCATGATGAATATAAGTATAATTTGTGTTTTTTTGAATTTTCTGTTGATAGGAAAGTTAGGAAAACACCTGATTGGATGTACAGCTATTTGGTAATTTGTAATTATTATGAAAATATTGAATTAAATTTCATGATCCCAGGGCATACCAAATTCAAATGTGATGGTAGTTTTGGATTGACTTTAAAAAAAAGCTCTAAAACAAGACAAATGTAAATTATGTGTACCATGGTGTAGAAGTTGTGAAAAGATCTGGTGCTGCTGGATTAAATAAAACTCAATGCTATCCAAAAAAAAATTTTTTCAACATTTTCTTTCTGAAACAATTAATCCTGATGCTGTATATAAAATTCCAAGAGGTTGTACAATCCATTTCACGAATTAAAAGATATTAAATTTATCCTTTCCAGGACTGATACTCAATATTATATCTTTATAATAATATTTACCCATTTGTAAAAAATGAATTTACCATTGATTTATTGCTTAGTTGCATTTCTGGAAGTCTTCCTTTTCTTGATAATTAGCAAAAATAATAAAAAATAAAATCATTGATATAATTACTCTTTTTGTCTATTATTTTTTCTTTTGATAAATCAGTATAAAATGTTTTTCCTTTATTTTTATATTAATTCTTGTCCTTGCTCTTGCCTATGGTATAAGTCATACAACTTACTGCACCAAAACAACGATTTTGGGGATATTTTCCCATCAAAAATTGTTTGGTCATATGATATTTCTTAGCCATTCCATAAATAGTAAAATCGGCAATAACAAAATTGGTCTCGTGATATTGTATTACCTATATGCAGTATTGTGCAATTGGAACATTGGTCTTCAATTAATATTGATGAATGAAATTTGGCAAAATGCATACTTTTACAAATGAGTTTATTATGAATTATTGATTGGACTTTTTTACTCATTATAAAACTCACAAGAGCTAACTTTATAATAATATATTATGAGTGTTCTCAAAGAACAAAGCCAAAAGATTGATGAAATAATTAGTATTAGTGAAAAAGTTAAAAATTTGTTAAACATTTATAAAAGACTTGGATTTTCCACTTAATCAAAACCCACAAGTTACCTGGAAAGAAAAAAAGAAATCACTGCTTCTGCATAGTGACAGATGTGTTAACTATTATAAAGAAATTAATTTTATGTTACCAAGGAATAGTTGTTAGATTGTTATAAAAAAATTTATAACCCACATAAACAACTGATACTATATAAAACAAACTGAATCACAAAACTGACCACAAAAAAGTTAGAGTTGCATAAAATTATAAATGCAAAATTGCCAAATGTTTTTAAATATTATTTGTAGATAAAATTCAATTAGGAAAAAATCTTTCATAACTAATTTAATTAAAAAAATAAATATAAAGTCATATTTTATTTTGTATATAATATAAATTATATGCATAACCAAGTTGAATTTCTTATATTTTTTTTAATGTAATTTAATAAAATAAAATAGCTTTTTTATATCAAAGCAAAACGATTAATTGATAGGTTTTCTATCAGTTTTTTTTATCATGTCTGATAAAAAACTGGTTATGACCAAACTGTACAGTGCGAATCATCTATACTCAAAAGTTAAAATTTTTGAAATATTATGTGATCCACACATTGGATTTTAAAAAA